TACTTTTTCTCTTTCATATTGACGACCTTTTAACCACATTCAAATCGTCATGTCTCCTTCTTTCTGACGATTTGAAACAGGAGAAGATCCAGACGACCAGCGGGCACTACAGCTGGACCTAGAAAGACTTTCTAAATGGTCTGATAAAAGAAACCTGCCAATCAATTCGGAGAAGTTTGTGTTGTTGCCTGTTCGAAGGCGTACCTCACCACACTCATCTTCTAAACAGAAAAATTTACGTTTGAGCACCAATCCAAGGACCACGGCATTCTGTCCCGTGCCGGTATACAAACGAAGGAAAACACCAGCGGCGTTTACCAAAACTTCTACGCATTTTATAAGCACTGAAGAGAAGATTTTGCCTGTGGATTGAGCAATTGTTTATTGCTATCTACCCAGTTATTGTTCGACCAATATTGGAATACGGTGCCCCAGCGTGCTCTCCGGTGTCCACGGGCGGGACACACAAATTGGAAAAAGTGTAACACATAGCCATGAGGAGGATAAAACAACTACGGCCTACACATTACCCCGACAGATGCAGGGACTTTCAATTGTTCACACTCGAATATAGGCGAATAAGAACTGACCTCATTTTTGTCTTCTGTATCATATGCATAGAACACTGCCCTGTGGTTTCTATTTCCTGTGTAAGAGAAGACTATTACCCCTTCAAGTTAAGCGCATCGCGACTGGGTTCCCACACAATCTTACCTATCTTGAATAAATAGCCACATTTAGTTGTCAAGTCGGTTGTGAACGGTTTCAAACACCGGTTGGACTCGTTTTTGTTGACATGTATTTAATTATTCTGCCTGCACAAAATACATAACAGCTAGACTAGAGACATACACTGAGTTACCGATTTTGTCCTACCTAAAGTTTTATTATGTTTATAATAGAAGAAAAGTACAGAACAATTTCGCTCTTCTAACAAATCTGATTTTGACTCTGACTGGGTGTGCTAATGGGTTGCAGCCTGCCTGGATGCAGAATCACGTGGAGCTCTGATAGTGCGTGACCCCACATCCAGGGTTCTCGTGGTCTCGTGTATTTTCTGACTTTTTCGAGAAAGAGTGAGTAATTACCCTTCCAAATTAGGGCCCACAAATCAGGGCACTCTAGAACTTGTAATGGCTTATATCGGTAAAGTAGAAGAAAAAATTTAGGGTCTGGATTAATCACATATCTTGTCCAGGTTTCAAAAGTTCCCGACAATGCAATCACACGGTGAACATTTGTAACACTTTAACGCTATATACAAAGAGAAGGTTCGAAATCCGATTTGCACGCATAACTTTACGAACTTTCGTTTAGTCATACGCGTGGCCGAGACTGTTAACGACAGAATTTACAAAACGGAACGAGGGAGAGTAGGAGACGGTGCACTTATTATGTACGTGAGTCTACGTGAGTCCCGACCTCCTCTGAAAAGTTGCTTGCGTCCGTTTGATTGGATGCAAGCATTAACTGTAGCGGAAGTTGATTCCGATAGTGACCTAAAACAATTCAAAACTTGACAATCTCCATTTGCCTTTGTTACGAGTCGCTGCTGAATAACTGGCACTATATCGTACAAAACCTTGACCATTCCATATCAGGAAAACTGCATAATTTGACTGGAAAAACCTGTCGGTCATTTTGTCGACTATAAACCTTGTACCAATGGCACGTTTGTTCCACCTGATACACTTTCGATCACCGGAAAATGGGAGATACATCCGAGCAATGGGGGCCATAACATGACCAGGTAATTGAGGAGACTGAGCAGTTACGCATTGAATGTGAGAGCTTTGATGCACGAACGCCAGTGACTGCGTGATTGAGGCTTGTCTGCCAGTGTCAGTAACCACTGGTGAGTTGTGTCCCGGGGCTCGCATCCAGCTAGGCGACAGCCGTCATTCCCAATGAGCTCACTGATTAGTGTTTTCATATGTCGTCGCTAGGCGTCCACCGTCCACCACTTAGTCACTTCCCTTCAGCTCAGGTTTGGGTGGAACGAACTCCTGAGGCAGATGGTGCTCTGGCATGTAGTACACACGTCCTAATGTAACCTACGGAGCCTGAGTAATTCGCTAGTTGTGGAAGAGTTTCTTTCCTAAAACTATCTGGCGTACCTTGGCATTACTAATTCGAAGCTTCTATGAGACCCAACCAATACTTCGGAGACACTGCTGGCCAACCACTGAAAACTTTCATGTCATCTGCGCGTAGAGACCACGTCTCAGATTCATTACAGTACAATTCGCGCACACTCTGCCCATGAAAGGCAAACTGATGTCACGCCAGTGCCATAAGTTTTAGGGCTTGGTAAAGGCTAACCAGGCCCATCCGATTCGGAGGTAATGTCGTCTTCAGAAAGTCTACCGGAACCTACACAAGTTCCCAGGTAAACAATTGTATCTCTCTATCTATCTATCAATTGACTTGTCTGCAAGCATGATCATGCAAACCCCAATACTGATGAGTTTTGTGTTTGATTCCATCTAGTCTAACGGAAGCACTTTACAATTTGAAAGTGTGAAGCGCGTGCCATATCGTGCGGCAGAATTATTCAGGTTACTTCAAATGGCTTGCATTTTTGAAAGATCTGAACCAAGGGGAACAATATCGTCCCCATGACCTATCTGTAAGCGAATTTCTCGGGAGCATTTCGACCTCCGCTGTTTTAGAGGCATGCAGAGAAATCTCAAGCAGTGCATCAAAGACATTGTTGAATAGTAAGACAGGGCGACCTTGTCTTAGACCACTGGATCTGGTGAACGCGGACGAAAGCTTGTCATGTAGTCGTGCACACCCAAATGATTTCGCTTACTACATCTTTGTAAAGGATATAAATTTAGAAAGGACCCTGTTGATCATCAACCACCAAAGTTTCTGAGGATCAACATAGTCAAAAACAGCTTTCCAATGCAGAAGGGCGACTAATATGGGAGTTCGAAAGAGTGGTACTGTTTGAGACCTTGTGTCAAGTCAAAGATGTGGTCAATGCATCGTCGGCCATTTCGAAACCCAGTTTTATGCTCACGAGTTTGTTCCCCCCGATAATCGATCAATCTAGGCAAAATAATGCCAGAAAACACTCTGGAACATGCCACGATGGTTTTCGCATAACGCTCTCGTGCCCTTTTTCGAGGAGTGGGATCATGGTCGAGGTGCTCCATTCCACTGATATTCTGTTTCCGTTCGGAATCTCCCGAGCTTCTAAAACCCCTGTTATTCCACGTTGCTCCTCAAAACAGGGCTTTCGGAAATATCTGAGGGAGCGCCCGACTATCTTCACACTCCAATCGTGGAACGATCCAAGACCTTTTAATTCGTTTACTCTTAGTATGGAAACATTGCTTCTCCTTTTAATTCGATTACTCGTAGTATGGAAATACTGTTTTCTCCTGTATGACTTTGTGTGCAAGGTTGCCTCATTTGTAATGCATGCTTTGGGTGTTGAGCCATGGATTCCAGACATACTGTGCTGAACGCACTGGAGACTTCTCAATCTATGTTCCGTTATAGTGTTGGTGGAGCCTGATTTCACCGAGGTCCCATGAGGTGGAGTCTTCCGCAATGTTCACTATCCCTAATTGGGGCAACGAAATACGTAGATATTCATGGTCCGTAAGTATATTGAATGACTCGGTCTCAGAAGCTCGTCAGAACTGATGGGCAGACATGTAGGTGGTGAAGAGTCTGCGACCCAACACGCTGGAGTGCCCGTACTTGATCTCATTGAGATTTTTGGCATTTGGTGCTTTGGTGGTTGATTCACTTAATATGTTTATCATCTCTGCGTGTGTGTAAGAGCAGATGAACGTTGTTGCTTTGACCCGAGGCAATGCAGGGGAGACTGAGGAGTTACGAACAGTCGCTCCTTAATCTATAGTTGTCATAATATCCGGCCACCATGTAATGAAGTCGTTTCTGGCGGACCTGGTGATGTTAAATAATTCTCTTTGTTTAGGCACACCTGCAACGCTAACTTTGAGGACCATGTTTTATCTGGAATTCAATCTGTCTTTGTATTATTTTAGCATGGCAGTCCGTTGTTGGATAGATGTCTTGAATGTCAGCTACTGGCTTCCCACCTTAATTAGGTGTTTCAGTTTGGCTTCTTTTGTGGCGTTGTCCGTGGGATTGGTTAGATATATCAATCGGGCGATTTTGGTAAAGTCGACTTCTTAGTCTTGTAAGATATCATCCAGGTTCCATTTTGGACTATATACCTAAACGCATTGTTTCCAGCAGGTACGGCTTCGTTCACCTAGGATAGGTGGATATCAAAGAGGACAGACACATCGGGGGGGCAGTGACGAGTTACTCCTTCAGTGTCATTCGTCGTTATGGAATCTAGGCAGTTGTGCATTGAAAACAGTGACTTTAATGAATGTGTGCTGCAGGCGTCGTTAACTGCTGTGTCCCATCTCGCTGTCTCTTTCCTAGAAGGCGGAGGTTGTCAGCACGGCTGTGCTGTTCATAGCTCCCGCACTTCGCTGCCAAGCCAAATAATGATCATACTTGGTGCACACATGGCTGGAAGACAAGAGCTCCATGTGGTATATAACGCATTGTCATGTGTATGAAGTGTGACCCTCGGTTGATGTTAACAACCATTTGAAACCTGCTTTTGAGTTGATAGTCTTTGTTGGTCTGAGGCGTTTGCTCGTTACTGTCTTCGGTGCATAGAGACGGGCCGTTGGACTGACCGAAGTCCATGTTATTGCGAACCCAGTGAACGCCGCTATCTACAATTTTCGGTCATCCTTAGAATTCATTATCAAAAGCCTCAACGCTTCCGTCCTTCTACTCCGGCGGCGATACTGAAAACCGCGACATATACGATGTGGCTGACTAGCTCAAACGATTGTTATTAGGAATGATGATGGGTTAAAGTCAGGTAATATCAAGCTATGCCGTGCATCGTTCATCAATCCACTAAGTTGCGTCAAAGTGCCTGTGTTTCCTACTAATATTCACTTTGACCGTCTCCTCTTTTCAGATACTTACTCAGTCATTGAGTGACATTCCATTTCGCTCACAATACCAGCTGAAATGTGCACACCTGCAGACAACCGAATTATAGTAAGTTACTTAAATAGTTAGCTGGTGTTTTTTACATGTTTATCAATTCATGCATTCGAGTGGTAGTATCCTCTCTCATATATGGGGAACTTTTTATCCTAGACAGTAATGTGTCCGTGTGAGCTACCAGGATGTACGCTCGGAATTCATAATTTTTGCTCAATTTGAAAGTGACTTGCACTGTCGTCTGGAGTCTCCCACCCCCAACTATCTCGGTCGGAATTGCCAGTTCTTCTCAGCATTTGCGGGACAAGCGATAAGCAAGACCGATTTTTAACCACACTGTATAATTTTTTTTGCGGTTTTCCGTGCAAATCATTCGTATGATGTAAAATTTCCAACGCGTGTTACACATGAAACAGTCGTTTGGTGGATTAACGCAACATGAATTTAAAAACACCGTAATGGTCGGTCTTTTTTGCGAATGAATGTGCCCAGTGACACGATGTTAAGGTAATGGTCGAACAATTTCCGTCGTCAAGCTGCACTTCAGTGGCCTTGTAGCTTTTCAGGGAAAAACTTGTAAGTTGGCCGGGGCTTGCAATTCTGCACCAATAAGGTTGCCATAGTTTGGGAGATAGCACCTTTGTGTTGTTGCCATGAGCGGATGACTGAACTGTTCGGGGTCTGGGCCACTGGCTTTTTTATGCTTTTTACCAACACCTTTAATTTCGATTTTGTTTACTTAGTTACTCCGTTTCCGAGTGATATGTGGGAGCCGTCTTCCAGGTTGGATTACAAAACGTCTCTCCAATGCCGACAAGAGAAGTAATCCCATTGCGGTATCAATGACACCTGAAAAGGTCAGCTAAAGGAGGTTACTTGGGGGATGTTAGGCAATGGAATTGGGAGGCCCCAGACAGCCGACCGAAAGTGGCGTTTCCTGACTGAATGTTCTCCTTTTATCTGGGTAATTGTTTCGGTTGAATCCGGGCGCGACTTTAGGTCCATCCCTGATATGTGAGTTTTGTTACAATCAGACACAATATTTTCAACTGTCACCCTTCTCTTGGACCAATGGATTTTAGTAAAGAGGCGGATGGGCTTTGTACTTTGTATTATTCCAAATATGTGTTTCGAACTGAAGATCTCCTGGTTTAGTAGATGACACAAAAGTAAGTGTCATTTGGATTGCAAAAGTCTACATGCTGTTAGTCTGCTCACCATTTTACCAAGTCTCAGGCATTAGATCGCCTTCTGGTATTTACCTCTGTACACCGACAAAACATACATCTAGCAACCGCACCATAATCGATCTCCCCGAAAGTTCAATTTTTTATTTCTTGATTCTTAATGGCAAAATAAATGTGCTTTAGGTTGCATCTAGCTAGAAGGGCCTTCGGCGAATTAGGTTCTGTGTACGATAACGCTCAGCTGTAGCACCCTTCCGGTGCCTATCTGCCAGGCCACCCGAAGGGAGCACGAGGACTGGGATACTGCTAGGTTGCCCGAGCCTAGACACGGGAAGTCGAGGGGCATAGGTCGGGTTCGAACTACCGACCTTCCGGTCAGCAATTTCGCGCTCTAACCACTTGGGCCATCTCGCCCCCAATTAGGTTCTGTGTATCTAATATGAAAACGAACAGTCTACTTATTGAGCTTCCAAAGGGGCTTCAGGTGATCACAGGCCCTCTGCCCGAATGGCCAAGTCCATTCTCTTCGGGTTATCGAAATTGCGAGAAGACATAACTGACGAGTTGTTAGCATTTTTCTCATTTTTTTTACATTCATCGGTTTCCCATATAGGGCGTACGTTTTTTTAATTCCGTGCATGGTAAGATTTTAATAAGTCAGCAACATCAGTGTTGGTAGTGATGCTTCAGTACAGTAACTATGATAAAAACAATTACAACAAGGAGCAACACTCAGGAGAGGTGGGTTGTTCTCACATACTTAACTAAGTAGACAGATTTTCATAAAGGAAGCTACTCACAAGGTGCTGAAAATTTCTTCAACAGCCCACGACCGGTTTTGCCCTTCTCGAAAACAGTCCAATTTGGGTTCCAGTAGATCATATGATTGACGGAAACTCGGGGACTGTGCCTACCTGATGAGCCCCAAGAAGGGCGAAACCGGTCGTGGGCTATCGAAGAGTTTTCTGCATCCTTGTGAGTAGTTTCCTTTATGAAAATATACTGCGATATCTCGAATATCGTGCCAACTGAATCATGAGGCGGCCTGTGTGCAGCACATTCAATTGCAGAATATCATAAACGAGAGATTCAATTGATTCCCTCGTGAAAACCAAATTAATTTACAAATGAGTGTATTTCTCGAAAGCAGACAGATTTTTTCATTCGCTACCTCACACAGACAGAAAACCAGTCGCCTGCGGTCGATCAATATTGTCTCGCTAAGTGTCCGTAACTTCAAAGTTTGATTACGTAACGGGGATTTGAATGATTGCCTGCGATAACGGGATGGACTGTGGTCAGTCGTCGTCTGGCAGTAGATGTTGCTGGATTCGTGGATGTCAGCCGTCAAATAACTAGTTGTTGTTGCCTTGTAATCATTTTGGCAACTGTCCAGCGATGTGTTGGAAGCGGCATCAATCAGTTCTGTCGATATAAATGTCACCGTAACTGCCAGGCGAACGATGTGTGTCGTAAGCACCAGGTAGATCAAATCCCCAACTTTGGTTGGCGTGAAGTTTCAGGACTACACCTAGGTTAGCTACCCCTTACTATGCAGGCAGAAAAGTGCGGTACAAAATTTCCATTTGCTCATGTTGGCAGTTCCCAGTATGTTGTTTGTTTTTCCGGTGATGGCGGCCGTGTTCGCTTCAGGTTTCCACATGCCACATGTTTCGACAAACCACTTCGGTAACTGTAACCCAAAAAGTTTCGTTTCAAAAAATTTTCTTCGTGCTGCTCATGAGGAGTACAGATGTAAGTTGCGCTGTGAAACATTGTCTTGATTAGGCCCTGTTTACAGGTGACTAATTGTTCCGCCCCCTGTTTATTTTATTGTTTATTGGGAGATGTCGCTAGTTGGTGTGTTGTTCGTGTATGTTTCAATCAACACATTCAGGATGACTGGATTAGCTCTTTCTCGTCAGACACATCACGGAAGAGAAAAAATGAGCTAAAGTAGTGATAGTAGTATCGTGTGATGTCGCCGACACAATGCCTGTAAAATGTGACGCTTGTAGTATAATCAAGTAGTATCAGCTCGGAGGATTTGTCACAAACCCTAGAGCCAAAGAAGCATCCATATGACGTGGCCAATCGAAGCAGAGGCAGATTTTCTGGAATCACTATGAATAGGCTTCGTACAGAGAAGAATACGACCTTTGAATAGGTCAGATGGAATCTCCGTTGAAATGTTTGGCTGACCTTTTCGTCATCGTTTTTTTAACAGCAGCGCACAATCAATACTAATAGACACTTTGATGTTAAAACAGCTCGTTTGGTCCGGAAAGTTTGCCCAATTCCTTTTGGCATCTTTGACATGACCAGTTGTTTTGGCCGCATGCTTGGCCGGATAAGAAAGCCGCTGTGTTGTAGAGTTTCGACCGCTTCAATCCACAGACGTTATGTCGATTAAACCATTAGTTCCACCGGTGGATAACATGTCAGTTTACTTTTTACTTTTTCCTGGTTTACCCCAGATTGAAGTTGGGGTTTCTTAGGTGTTCCGCCACGAATATATTAGGAGGATTTTAGGCACCCATTGAGTTACACTATGGATTGTTCACGTGTTGTCCCTGAGCCTCATACCACGTTGATCACTGTTTGAAATTCCAATTGTCGCAGCCTTCTTGGACTCCGGCTTAGAGTTGGAATATGTCTGACATCTTGCTCCGTAACTTTTACACTGTAGTGCTCTTGCGCTAACGAACGCCGAATCCGCGGTCAGGTTTTTGAGTCAAAGGCTTCGGTCGAGATCTTAGTCACATTCCCAGCTAGGTTTGGTCGCTCTGATGCTATCTCACCCCGTATACAACGATTACCTACGCATATTCGGGCAAATTCATACCACACAGGCCGTCACTTGGGTATGCCAGACCAATCGCCTTATTTTCTGCGTATCCAGGGCGAGTAATAGAAAACAGGCTTCTACTGACTGCTCCCACTCCTGTTGATTATTACCTCATTGCTCCTTTCTTGCTCCACCAATCGTTCTTCGTAGGTCCGAGTTGAAGGCTTATGAGCCATGCACCCTGTGGAGCGACACACGCGCCGCTTGGCGTTCCCTTTTCGTATCTCGCTAGTGTGTTTCCATCGCGCCTTTTAACCTCTGGGACTGGCTGACCAAGCTGGCCAACAAGCTACTTTATCAATAAACATCTTTGCAATTGCTGTAACTCGGATGCGAGATTCACCTACCGTATTTGGGCTAGATGCCACTTGCCACGAACTTTAGGTGATTTTAGAACCGTCGGAGTGAGTTTCACCGATCTTGATGCAGGTATCTGCTCCCTAGTTGGGACTAGTCTACTGGGATGGAGCCTTGTGAAGGATGTCCTGGATTTGGTTTGTTTGTTGACCAACAATTCCTAATTCTTAGTTCCTGTAGCTGTGGTTTGATAAAATATGTGATCTCTGGAACCATTCAACCTCCAGTCCAGCATGAAAGGTTCGGATATTGTTCCTGTCGCTGAAGATTTCGGTTCATGAACCGGACGTCGGAGCCCATCTAGGATGCGACTTGATGTCTTTTTTAAGTGGACACAATGAAAATGCTGAAGCTCTTGACAACTTTTTACTCATCACCGTCCGTTCTTCAGTAGCACTGATTTTGGTTACATTGGGCGCCCTTGTGTTACCTGGTATTCACTTGCTTATGAGTGGCGTTGAAGCCCCTAACTATGGATGAGCAGACCATATCTTTTACCAGCGATTTTTCTGGAAAACTTAAAAATTCGTTGCTTGCTCTCACGAGGTATAAACGAGGAAGTTGGATTGAGTCACATGTTCGAAATAGAAACAGTTCAGGGACTTATAAATACCGCATTCTTGGAAGATCTCCGCTGTAATTGGGACGAGGTAAGCACCGCCATCTTTACGGCGGGATGTACAGCATGTGTTGTTTTGGATTGTATTTCTAAGAGTTCATTGTTAGTGGCCAATGTGAGAAGCCGTATTAATTCAGCCACTTAACATGCCTCAATCCAAGTATATCTTGTGGATGGATTGATAGGCCCGATGTAAACCGGTATCCGGAAATGGCAGAAGCTAGTGCAGCTGGTAATATCCGAAAACGGTTCCGACTCACACATGGGACAAGGCCCAAAGGACACTCGAAGGTAATAGGGGTGTACAACAAGAACGAAGGTCTTCGATACAGAGGGGATTATTATCAGCCACAACTACATTCGCTGTCCACCTATGCGTCTTTTATTCGACCTAGGTGGTCCTGGGTATAGACTTTCCTCCAGCTATAGTATTGTGATATGAGTTTCTGACTTGAACCGCCCTCGGATAGAAGGGTTTGATGAACTTCGGCCATCGTCGTTTTATTCTATCTCAACTAGTATGTTGAGACTACCTTGGAACCAAGGATGCGTCCGAGGGAGCACCGTGCGTTGATCTAAAAAAGTACCCGAAGCAACTGCTACAACTGTACGTCTCACCCACATTCTGACACCGCCGCTGTTCTCAATAGCTATTCAGCGCCTTACCCTGGTGCTTATTACACAAGTCTGAGGGCATAAGACAGGTGCTAGATTAGATTAGACTATATTGGTCAAACAGTGCGACTCATGCTACCGGCGCTTCTGTTTCAGTTATCCACTCAGGGAGTGATCGATTATTGTACATAGATGTGGCCAAAAGGGACTGACTGCCTTAGAATTTTACAACTATTATCCGTTCCGTTTCTTTGAACACTTCGGATCGCATTAAGTTGTACGACAAGCTGTCAAAAGTTCTCACACAACCAGTAGGGTTCTTCAATGTAGCCTCCTCATATTTATTTGTTCACTTCCACTACTGGCATCAACATAATGCGCACTCTCCACGGAACCCTGAATTTGGGCATGGAACTCTTAGCTGAAGAGCTATCGGTGGGCTCGAATTATGCGAAGGAAATTGTTCTGTTTTTGGTTTTGTTGCCTCCACATGAACTACTCGACAGCAGAAGTGATCGCTTCTTTTGCATGCGCCTCACACCTTCAAACTATGCGGTACTATTCAGGATTTCGCATCCCGTTGTATCGTGTATGCCATCGGAGCGAAGAGCTTGGATTGGTAGATTGGCGTACGTATGTTTGCGGTTGCGTGTGTGATGAGCTTACGTTGGCACACGCATCACCAGGGCATGGGCTACATTCGCGATTCGTCTAAAATTCGGCTTTAGAAACGAGCTCCACTGATGCCAGAGAATCACGCTGTATTCTAAACTCCAAAGCCTTGCCGACGCAAGACTTGCAGAGGACAGGTCGTGACGTGGAAGTGCCAGACGGATACTCCTAGGACTCAGGTTGATGCGCTTTCTTGACTGGAATCAACATGGTTTTCCTTGTACATGTTTAGAAACCCTACAGGGCATCTCACATGAGCGTGCTGTCACCTCTTAGCCTGTCTGTCGTTCGCTGGGTAAAGCTCACAAAGGACATCGCTCCGACTCCTTCGATTACGGTCTACCCTGACATGATGCCCGGATACGATTATTGCATTAATGTTTGAATATGTGGTCACTTTGTTTTCTACCGTGCTTTTCGCGATGTGAGGCTTTCTCCGGCATGTACCCAATCCTTCACTTCCGCTTCATGCCGTAGGACAGCCATGGTAGTATGTTGGGATGTATTTCTATCTACATTGACGACAATGGTACCGTGAACTAGAGATTTCGCTCGAAATGTGCCTTGATATCACATTAGTTTGCACCATCTACTTTAAGGCAACCTTGATTTGTTAGTGTATCGACTTTTCAAGTTTCCTGTCAACGGTTTTGAAAGGAGTTTAGTCGAAGCACTACTTCACAAAGCAGGATGGGCGGAAACTCCTAATGAGTTGCAAAAACGAGAGGAAATTTTTGGATAAATCCTTCTCCGCAATGGACACCCGCGTGTTTTATTGGAGTAGATAGTCTGCAAAGCCTAAGGGGATCCCGGTTACCACTAAAAATAAACAGGCTTTCTCACGGTTATCACTTTCCAAACAGCACACAAAAAACAACACTTTTCCGGCCTCACCTTTAGGAACAGCTGAATCCGTCGCAGTACTCAGACGGTGTATCAGTCAACCTTTAGGACTAGACCTTACTGCCACTTGTGTATCGTTCTTCTGTAGCTGTGGCGACACCTTGACTGACCCGTTCACTGTTTCTTCCGGAGCGTCGTCAAATCCTTACTGGATTACTTGTATTCCTTCGACAATCATTCTCAGGAAGAAGTCCGTTGCAACCGATTGTAAGGCGCCTGGCGGCCGCAGTTCACTCGGTTGGCCCCTGACATGTTTGCATTTCTGTTACTCCATCGAATATCCCGGGTGTCAGCTCTCGATTCGGTGAGAATGACGTGCTTGGGTTCAATTGGTTGCCCGCTGATATACAGAGACCTCTACTTATCAAACTGGTCATTCTTCTGGCTCTTTCAACGATTTACTCTTAATATGGACCTTTCGGAACGGCAACTTTTTATCGATTGATACAGTAGGTCACGGGCAAAAGCATTCATCCATTAATTGGTTACTCCCCCTAACATGTCTTTATCTAGCACCCGGTCGAACGGGTCTACGTGTTCATTTTCTGTAGCTAGCTGGATATCCGCTTCAAACTAGGAACCTCAGTAACTCCAAAATTTCATCGACCTCTCCCCAGTGAATAATGGCTGTCTGTGGCTTGTTGTAGATCCTTCTTACTCCCAAACACTTGGGACCGATAGATTGGGTTTTTCCTGTGTTTTCGACCCGTGGACTGTGTCAAGCCACCTTATCTGTTTATTTCCTCCGGTATCCAATTGATTGCACAATAGTGATCTTATGTTTTTCCAATTGTTTGCATGTTGTAGTTGGGTGATGACTATCGGGGCTTCGATGTCAGACAATTTTGCCTACCTCCGCGATATGCGAATTACGTTGAGAGTGTTCTCATACCCAACGGAATGTTGAAAGATCGGTATGTGGTTTAATTCGTTCTTTCACCCGCTCACTTTCTACAGCATCGAGAAATTAGCTTTGGATATTGTAACCAGTTTTGAAAATGACAACGCTCGCTCTCTCACCCTATTGTGTGTTCTGAAGGGAGGCTTCAAATTCCTTGCTGATCTAGTCGATGGATTGGAGTTGACTATTCGAGCCAGAGAAACGAGTATTACAATGTCTATGGATTTCGTACGGATTAAAAGTTATGTGGTATGTATATTTCAGCCTAGGTCTTAATGGACTCCCTTTTCGTTTTCCTAGAATGACAAATCCCACCACGAACCTATTCTTACTGGCTTGGATGATCCGAAAACCCTCAAGGGAAAGGTATTTTACCTCATTTTGTATATATATTTTGTTCAGGATATTCTGGTTGTCGAAGATATCATCGATACGGGCAACACAATGAAAGTTCTTCTCAGCTACCTAGAGACCCTTTCGCCACGTTCTGTGCGCGTTGCTAGGTAAATACATATTTGAAGATTGTGATCTCTACCGTTCATTGGAAGTAACACCACTCACCGTTCTCTCCCGTTCTCTCTCACCGTTCTCTGCGGTTGTATAACCTTTATCATGTTGCTCGCTTGACGATCATGATATGTGGCGGACCACAGGATCCGCTGTCCACCAGGAGCTCGTAACCTCTAGTGCAGCTCACTTTTTTGATGCTCCATCATCCTGGATGTGTGGTTCGCTTTGTAATCTCGCATTCCAGTGTGAACCGAACTGTTTTTAAGGGGACTTAAGATTAGACTTCTTACGCTGTGAAGATTTATCAGCAGTCGCGTTTTGGTTCGTAGAGGCTGTTGATAGTCAAGGGAAGTTATCCTCCCAGTAAAAGACCGTGAGGAACCCTGTGACGAGTTCCACGCGATGAATGCATTTCTGTACCTCGTCTTTAGTTTCGGGCGAGACGGCCCGAGTGGTTGGAGCGCGGATTTACTGACCGGAAGGTCCGTGGTTCGAACCCTACCTCTGCCTCTCGATTTTCTCTGTCTAGGCTTGGGCAACGTGGCAGTATCCCAGCCCTCGTGCAAACTTCAGGTGACATGGCAGTTAGGCACCGAAAGGGTGCTAGAGCTGAACGATTGTTATTTAACTCATCTTTAGTTTCAAATTCTACAGAAGTAGGTCATTAACTCAGTTCAGTCATGGCGCGTTTGGTACTTTCCTTGAACATCACTGCAACTTTATGAACAAGGGGTTAGTCAAATTAGAACCAGCGGCGCTACAATACATGGCTACTGATCATGCAGTTTTTTTCAAGTGAAGTTCACTCACTCTCTAGAATGCTTAAAATGGCACCACCAGGATTACGTCAAAATGGTGCTTAACGGATGTAGTTCACTTTTGTATTCATGAGAGAATATTCGATGTTGGTAAATTAAATGTTTTTAGACATTTCAGATTGTTATATCCAACCTGAACACATGATATGTGACTGCAAGTTCAGCTGAGAACGGACTCAATAGCATAAAGCTTTCCAGTCAGTTGATGACCCTAGTTTCGCTTATAGGACAGTCTAGAAAACGTGAAAACCGTTCTAAGATCGCTGAGAACGAGTATTTGGTCGAGGAACTTGACTTCCAGTTTTTTGGTCATCCAAACAACATCCATTCTGTTTGAAGTGTCGAACAAACAAACAAACCGTTAAGTGTAGCGCTGTACGAAATTCCATATGCGCACTCTAGAGACCGGCGAAAATGAAAGAATGTGCGCCCTTCGGAGAAAGACTTGGAGCAGTATATGTAGTTGTTGGGGGTGCGCATCTGACCCGGACAATAACATGAAAAATAGGACTCAAGGATAAAATGGCTGGAAGACTTTGATGTATACTAGCTGCAGCGGGTTTTCCGTAATAACCTTCAAGCAGATAGCACAGGGCTAGGTAAACGTCTTCCAATGTATATCTGAGACTCTGCCTACTTGAACGAGACTACTTGTTAGTCAATGATGGATTACTCTCGGAGGTGGTAGCATAAAGGTGATCGTTCAACTGTGGTAACCTTTCGGCTCCTAACTGCCATGCTCCCCAAAGGAAGCACGAGGGCTAGGTTACTTCCAGGTTGCCCAATCCCAGACAGGGTAATTCGAGATGCAGAGGTCAGGTTCGAACCACGGACCTTCCAGTCAGTAAGTCCTTGCTCTAACCACTGAGCCATCTTGCCCCTCGGAGATTGTTCTAAGATTCGACTGATTGGTTGTTTTGATGGCTGCTTTAAGGGCTTTACGTTCGGTATTCGACGAAAGCCATTGCGCCGGCCAGTTAATGAGCGCAGAACATGCAGTTGTTCGGTCAGTTCCATTTTTTTCTCAGCTTCGTGTTCACTGTAGGGCGGTATTTTATTCATTAATTCAGGTGCAACAGCTTTTTTGTGCTTGATAAAAACAAATCACTAGTCATTCAATTATGAATAAATGGGTCTCCAAGGTCGCTTCCAGCCTGAATAAACGAAAATTGCGTCCTCCAAATTTGTTCCCTGTCTAGTCGAAACCGTCTCATCTCCACTTTAGTGGCAAAACATCGAAAAATATTGGTCTCCAGAACGTCTTCTACAGTTGCACTTTTTTACAAATAGTTTCTGAACAATGTGTAGTACGAAAATCCAAGTAGATTCGTTATAATACATCTGTGCACGACCCGAAGCATTGCAGCTGTTGTGCTTCACCCAGTTTTATCATTCGTGTGGCTCCGTCATTCAATGGCCTCAGTACACAGAAATGAGGTTTTGGGCTGTATAAGTACTGCTTACTTTAAATGAGCTTTCGTCTTATCGCTGTCTGGAAACTAGAACCAGCATGGTTTCGGATCTATCTGATTATCCAACCGACTAGTGGCGTTTGAAACTTCAAATTGACCAAATTTCCTCCCATCATCAACAGTCGATAAGAGGAAGGATAATTTCACGAGATGGGTGAAACTTCCTTTTGAGAAGTAGTCAACCACATGATGTGGTTCCCGTTGTTGAAGGATGAGTGGCGTTGTATCCTGTCTAAGTGAGAGCTAGTCACGCTGCTGATCATCCGCCAGCGATCAAATGGTCAAATGTGAAACCACTGGCCGAAAGATCGCGCGTTCGAGACTCTGAGTTTCGTGATGTCCTCGATGCGGATCATTCTTAACAAGGATGAAACAGCTGTACAGTGCTGTTCGGCTTTTTAGCATATGTTTGCTTCACTGACTGCATGGAATCTATTGAAAACGACCAAATCCTCTCCCATCGTTATCATCAAACTTGTTTGTTATTTCCGCCTTCAATAACCAGAAAATATGACTAGCATTGCATGTCAACAAAAGGGTGATGTGTTCATCCCCGTTTGCAACCTGACAACGAAACCTTTGTTGGGATAAGCGCGAAAAGATCAAGAGAATTTGGTGGCCATGAAAAATGTCCATGAACTTGTAACCACCACTTGATTCGGGAATTCGTCCTCACTCTTGTTTGGTTTTCAGTCCAACGTACTGAAATTTTGTGATCGTCGTAGACTCTTTTGCAAAATGCATCCGTTATTGACAACTGCGTTCCTCAAAATACACTGTTATGTGTGGGCTTCATACGAACGACAGTTACTGACCTTTTCTGGTGTTTGTCAATGTTGCAGTCACTCTTGTGAGGAGTTGCCCCGTCCGGTGTATTTTTTTGGGTATGATTGATGTAAAACATCCTTTCTATCGAGCTGACTGTCTCCATGGTCGTTTTCTTTCACGTCTATGCTCTGGATACACTGAGTCTGTTGGTTCTTGGTGTTTCGCACCAACGGTGACTCCTCACGCAGTAACCCGAGTCTCATACATGAATCATTACCACTCGACACCAACCACACTCTAGTGATCACCAGGTTCCAAGTGGCGAGTTAGTTAGTTATAAGACCACTTGTTTTTTTTCGCGGTAACTCTGCTTGCGCTTAATGGAACCAAATGGTTTTCGGGTGAAACATTCCGTTAAAAAAACAAACTGGCTTGAAAACTAAAAGCGAAAAGCAAGAATGACGTGATATGCTGTTATTTTACGCAGAGAGTTTTTGGTCGACGTTACTTTTTCTCGAAACCTTTATAATCGGCAATATTTTTTCTGTATGTTCGAATGACATTTGGACTAAAGTTTCTCCGTCTCCATCCAAAAACAAACGTGAAACCAGCTTTGAATACTGGTAGACTAGCGTACCCAGATTTTCAGTGTGGTTGGAATCAGGGCTCCAAGGATGCCGGTCCAACTGCCTACTCGTGACAACGAATGGTATGATTCGCTGTTTCAGCTTCTGGCTATACACATCCAGTGGTTAGTAGCCATTCGTTTACTCAGTTCCCATTTCGAAATTGCACTCCAAAGTAGCACTTTTCGTCCGCATGTGATATTTATTACCGAACTAACGTGGGCTATAACATTTCAAGTCTGATCCAAAAGTACACAAATTCTTCTGACCGCCAATGATGCTACAGCGCTGCTGTTGACTTCGGGTAGCAGGAGATTTAATTCGAGAGTATCGGAATTGGCCCATTTTGCGCGGT